TAAAGCTGTGAGTCTTTTTGAGTAAGATTCGAAGAGCTTTGCACACCTGGATTGTACAATATATGCCAATTATTCTAGTTAATTGTTGTTAATTGCTAGACAGCCATTTTCAAGTCTTGCCATAGATTTTCAAGCTGATTTTAAATCAAAGCTGTAACTAGGCCACTCAGGAACATTCAATGTCGTCTTGGTAAGCAACTCCAGTGTAGATTTGGCCTTGTGTTTTAGGTTATTGTCTTGCTGAAAGGTGAATTCGTATCCCAGTGTCAGTTGGAAAGCAGACTGAACCAGGTTTTCCTCCCTAGTCCTTGCCGATGACAAGCATACCCGTGTGGCTCAGTTGATAGAACATGGCTCTTGCTACGCCAGGGTTGTTGGTTCGATTCCCATGGGGGACAAGTAAGAAAATGTAGGCGCGCACTACTGTAACTCGCTCTAGATAAGAGCGTCTGCTAAATTACTCAAATGTAACATGATGCAGCCACCACAATGCTTGAAAATATGAAGAGTGCTTCTCAGTGATGTGTTGTTGGATCTGCTGCCAACATAATGCTTTGTATTCAGACAAAGTTAAATTCTTTGTCAATTTCTTTGACAAGCCTGACCTATCTAAAAAACCAGCAGGTGCCTGTTATAAAATGTTTATAAAGCCACTAGTCTCTTGTATGTGCATGTCCAATAATATCCACTTCACTTTCATGTGCATATCACGTGTGGCAACTGTACTCAGCCAGCCACATCCCCTACCAGCCCTCACTCACCTGTTTCTCTCAGTCCGCTTTTCACACGCATCTATTCCTCTGTCAGTTAAAAAAAATATATAATTTAGCCGTGATGGCGAGTGGGGATCCAGACCCTGATGAGTCTGCTGTTAGATTTGTACATTTGTTACTTTGGAGCAGCGCGCAATGCGAGCAATGTTGATACATTGTATCATTTCATCGCCTGTTATAACTGAGAGCACAGACCAGTCTGAGTAGACTTTGCAAGTGCACTGTTATGCAGCCTCAGAGTGACAGAGAGGGAAAATGGAGCACCGCTTCGTGACAGGCATGCTTGCAGCTTTACAGCAAAGAAAACGGGTTGTCGCTAGCCTAAACGGTTAAAAAAATATGACCCATATTACACGAGGTGCATTTTTTGCACGCATTTTATATAATTTCACAAACCCTGTCGCGGGCCGTTTTAAACTAATCCCGGATCGCAAATTATTGGTTTGATAACAAACAACGTTGTTCAGTCATGTTACCTAGCTAGCTAACAACCTGGTAATTTGACAGTAGGTTTAGGCAAATTTGATTGGCACAGGAAGAAAATGGGTTGCTACTCATGGTGGGATTCATATAGGCCTAATGTAAGCTTAAACTGTATCAAAAATCTATTGTATTTCTGGTGCTCCTTAAACTCTGTTTGGTGCCTAACGTTTTAAAAGTTGGGAGCAGTGTTTGTGGGAGAGAGAGTGGTGTTTGTTTATGAGAGTGAGGGAGACCTAGAGTGTGTGTGAGAAAAGGAGGGAGAGTCTGTGTCTGTGTTAACTGAAGTGCACAGAAGGGTTCATGCGTGTTTTCCCCATACTGACACAATGACATGCAGATCATTATGCATGTACAGTTGAAGTAGGAAGTTTACATACACCTTAGCCAAATACATTTAAACTCAGTTTTTCACAATTCCTGACATTTAATCTTAGTAAAACTTCCCTGTCTTAGGTCAGTTAGGATCACCACTTTATTTTAAGAATGTGAAATGTCAGAATAATAGTAGAGAGAATGATTTAGTTCAGCTTTTATTTCTTTCATCACATTCCCAGTGGGTCAGAAGTTTACATACACTCAATTAGTATTTGGTAGCATTGCCTTTAAATTGTTTAACTTGGGTCAAATGTTTCGGGTAGCCTTCCACAAGCTTCCCACAATAAGTTGGGTGAATTTTGGCCCATTCCTCCTGACACAGCTGGTGTAACTGAGTCAGGTTTGTAGGCATCCTTGCTCGCACACACTTTTTCAGTTCTGCCCACACATTTTCTATAGGATTGAGGTCAGGGCTTTGTGATGGCCACTCCAATACCTTGACTTTGTTGTCCTTAAGCCATTTTGCCACAACTTTGGAAGTATGCTTGGGGTCATTGTCCATTTGGAAGACCCATTTGCGACCAAGCTTTAACTTCCTGACTGATGTCTTGAGATGTTGCTTCAATATATCCACATAATTTTCCTTCCTCATGATGCCATCTATTTTGTGAAGTGCACCAGTCCCTCCTGTAGCAAAGCACCCCCACAGCATGATGCTTCCACCCCCGTGCTTCACGGTTGGGATGGTGTTCTTTGGCTTGCAAGCCCCACCTCCCTTCTTCCTCCAAACATAACGATGGTCATTATGGCCAAACAGTTATATTTTTGTTTCATCAGACCAGAGGACATTTCTCCAAAAAGTACGATCTTTGTCCCCATGTGCAGTTGCAAACCGTAGTCTGGCTTTTTTATGGCGGTTTTGGAGCAGTGGCTTCTTCCTTGCTGAGCGGCCTTTCAGGTTATGTCGATATAGGACTCGTTTTACTGTGGATATAGATACTTTTGTACCTGTTTCCTCCAGCATCTTCACAAGGTCCTTTGCTGTTGTTCTGGGATTGATTTGCACTTTTCGCACCAAAGTACGTTCATCTCTTGGAGACAGAACGCGTCTCCTTCCTGAGCGGTATGACGGCTGCGTGGTCCCATGGTGTTTATACTTGCGTACTATTGTTTGTACAGATGAACGTGGTACCTTCAGGCGTTTGGAAATTGCTCCCAAGGATGAACCAGACTTGTGGAGGTCTACAATTTTTTTTCTGAGGTCTTGGCTGATTTCTTTTCATTTCCCCATGATGTCAAGCAAACAGGCACTGAGTTTGAAGATAGGCCTTGAAATACATCCACAGGTACACCTCCAATTGACTCAAATGATGTCAATTAGCCTATCAAAAGCTTCTAAAGCCATGGGGATTGGAATTTTCCAAGCTGTTTAAAGGCACAGTCAACTTAGTGTATGTAAACTTCTGACCCACTGGAATTGTGATACAGTGAATTATAAGTGAAATAATCTGTCTGTAAACAATTGTTGGAAAAAGTACTTGTGTCATGCACAAACTAGATGTCCTAACCGACTTGCCAAAACTATAATTTGTTAACAAGAAATTTGTGGAGTGGTTGAAAAACAAGTTTTAATGACTCCAACCTAAATGTATGTAAACTTCCGACTTCAACTGTATATCACAGGAGGTTGGTGGCACCTTAATTGGGGAGGACAGGCATGTGGTAATGGCTGGAGTGGAAGAGTGGAATGGTATCAAATACATGGTTTCTATGTGTTTGATGCCATTCCATTTGCGACGTTCCAGACATTATTATGAGGTGTCCTCCTTTAGGCAGCCTCCACTGATGTATATTACTTCCTCCCATTCCTCCAGCCAAATCACAGGTAGGCCTTTGCAAATATGAGCAAATCAGCCGTTCTATGCAATATTCTATTATACACTGAACAGTGTGAAGTTAAATTCAATATTTTTTATTAGAGTAGAAGTGTGAATTTCTGTGACAGGTTTTTGGAGAACGTTTAGAAAAAATGAACAAGCGTCCGGGGAACGGGGTGAACAGGATGCTTGGCCACAGATGTTTTTTCCACCATGGTATCTCGATACTACTCGGTATCGTGATTCTTGGCCTGGTATCGTATTGTTTGTACAATTTTGGTATCGTGACAAGTCTAATTGGCCTCATGGTGAAATCCCTGAGCAGTTTCCTTCCTCTCCGACAACTGAGTTAGGAAGGACACCTGTATCTTTGTAGTGACTGGGTGTATTGATACACCATCCAAAGCGTAATTAATAACTTCACCACGCTCAACGGGATATTCAGCGTCTTCTTTTTTTTTTTTTTTTACACATCTACGAATCGGTGCCCTTCTTTGCGAGGCATTGAACAACCTCTTGTCTTTGTGGTTGAATCTGTGCTTGAGGGACCACAGTGTGGGGGTTCACAGATTGGGTAGTCATTCAAAAATCATGTTAACCACTATTGAACACAGAATGTGTCCATGCAACTCATTATGCAATTTGTTAAGAACATTTTTACACCTGACCTTATTTTGGCTTTCTATAACAAAGGGGTTATGGAACAAAAATGTTTTACAAACAAAATTCCACTTTGACATTATGGGGTATTGTGTGTAGATCAGTGACACAACATCTCAATTTAATCCATTTTAAATTCAGGCTGTAACACAACAAAATGTGGAAAAAGTCAAGGGGTGTGAATACTTTATGAAGGCACTGTAAATATTCAGAAGCCAGAACCAATGATACTGGAAGGTTGGCCGGATCTGTGAACACACACACACACACACACACACCTGCATCACACACAGTGTCAATTGTAAGGTAAGAGAGGCAGTTTGAGCTTAATCAGAATAGCAGAACAGGGGGTGAGGGGTGTGTGTGTGCATACATACATGCGAAGGGGTGTTGCTTCTGTATTCTGTTTACATTGTGTCCGACCTCCAGCCAATCTCTATTTCCCTCTTAGTGGGTAAAATAACAACATTTAATCGACATTACTGTTCCAGTTTCACAATGAACGACCCTAAAATACATTGGAGAGATGGAGGGGGAGAGAGAGTGATATTACCCAGCGTGTGTGTGAACATGTATAATGCAGACAACGGAAACAGACGGATAGATGTGGGATGATTAAATGGGTCTGTGTGTCTAAATGAGAGATGGTGTGTTTGTGCTTCCAGAGAGAAAGATAATAGATGTATTAGAAAGGGCTGAGACAGCAGGAAGAACAGACCAGAGTAATTGAAACCTCCAAGAGAAATTGAGAAATGGAACAAAGCAATGGAGAGATGAAGCTGGTGAAAAGTGAGAGTTATGTGTGTGTGGGGGTTTGAGTAGAGATTTTCCCCCTAGTATGTGAACTAACCCATCTCTTTATGTCTCCCTGTGTCTTTGTGTGTGTGTGTAGATATGTGAACACGCTGCTGAAGCTGGTGACCCAGGTCTTGTCCCTGCAGGAGCAGCTAAGAGAGGCCGTCCAGAACGGAGACATGGAGACGTCACACGGAATCTGTCGCATCGCTGTCGCACTGGGCGAAAACCACTCCAAGTGCGTGTGCATGTGCATGCACTGTCCCCTCTAAATCATCAATCAATCAATCCTTTCACTTCCCCTCCTCACACTCTTGGTGATGACATTGATGCTTCTGGGTTCATTCTCACAAACCAATCAACAAATAATCCGATCAGATGATGTGTTCAGTTTCAAGCTCAGGCCCAACCTAGTAAACAAGCTGTTTGTTAGTTATTGTGTGTTTCTGTCTCCGGAGGCCTCATGTCTCACTGTGTATGTCAATGGCTCCAGTCTGAACCCTTCACCTGTCACACTCTATCTAGAGAAACATCCCTGCCTGTCCCACCTCACCTCACTCTCCCTGAGCACTGACCTAGTTTTCCTGGCTCTGTGTCTGTTTCTCTCTCTCTCTCTCTCTCTCTCTCGAGAGCGAGCAGGGAGTGTGAGGGCGGAGGGAGGAGGGCGGGATGGAGGGAGGGCGGGCGGGGAGGGAGGGAGGGAGGGCGGGTGGGAGGGAGGGGGGAGGGGGGGAGGGCGGGAGGGAGGGAGGAGGGGGGAGGGAGGGAGGCGGGCTGGAGGGAGGGCGGGAGGGAGGGAGGAGGGGGGCGTCGGGAGGAGGGAGGCGAGGCGAGGGAGGGAGGGGCGGGCGGGACGGGCTGGATCGCTCGCGAGATAGAAGCGCCGAGGTCGGAAGAGCGCGGAGCGAGAGCTAGCTCGCGAGAGATAGCTCGGCGAGAGATCGATTATCGCGCGATATCTATACTCTCTCTTCCTCTCTCTCTCTCTCTATCTTCTCTATCTTTCTTTCCACCCCCCCCCCCCCCCCAGGGCTCTGTTGGAGCAGGTTGAGCACTGGCAGAGCTTTCTCGCATTGGTCAACATTATCATGTTCTGCACTGGGATACCAGGACACTACCCAGTCAACGAGACTACCAGCTCCCTCACACTCACCTTCTGGTACACACTACAGGTATGCACCCTACACTGTAACCCAGACCCCTACACTTTAACCCAGGACACTAACGTTACACCATAAACCCAACTACCCTGTTCAGAATAACACCACTTAACAGTACACACTCGCTCTCTCTCCAGGATGACATCATGTCGTTTGACTCCGAGAGACAGGCGGTGTATCTGCAGGTGTATAGACCAGTGTATTTCCAGCTGGTGGATGTTCTGCTACATAAAGCCCAGTTCCCCTCTGACCAGGAGTACGCATCATGGTCCTCGGATGAGAAGGAACAGTTCAGGATCTACAGGTACAAGAGTGTGGGTGGGGTTGTGTGGGTGAGTGCAGGGCTGTGTGTGGGAGAGAGCTAAATGCAATATGCTGACAGGTCTATTGGTGGGTGTGTTTGTGATTGTAACAGCCTGGAAGTGAAGTGGCAGCTGAGAGGGCACAAATGTCTGATGGATGACAATGTTTGTCTGAGTCACAGATCATCAGATGCTCAGAAGCACATTACTAACAGCACATTATAAAATGATGCCCTGCTGTTAGTGGTGCCAGTTAAATGGTGCCTTCTATTTCACTTGATTTGAGGTGTAAACACAAGTTTTTTGCATATTAACTAATTTACGAAAATAGACAAAAGCAGCGGACCCAAAACTGAACCTTGTGGCACACCACTTTTCTACCATAGTATTGATTGTTCCACCTCTATAACAAAACCTTGCCTCCTGTTGGTGATATGCATTACACTTCTATATTATAAGACTTAACACTTTTGTGTGTATTCCAGGGTGGATATCTCAGACACTCTGATGTATGTGTATGAGATGCTAGGAGCTGAGCTGCTCAGTAACCTTTATGAGAAACTAGGACGAATACTGACCAACACAGAACAAGCCTTGTCATGGCAGGTACGGTACACACATAAACACGCATTGAACATAATAATAATAATAATAATATGCCATTTAGCAGACGCTTTTATCCAAAGCGACTTACAGTCATGCGTGCATACATTTTTGTGTATGGGTGGTCCCGGGGATCGAACCCACTACCTTGGCGTTACAAGCGCCGTGCTCTACCAGTTGAGCTACAGAGGACCACACACACACACACACACACACACTGAACACGCTGTCTGAGGCCTTTTATTGTCTCCTCCAGCATACAGAAGCGTTGCTATATGGGTTCCAGTCGATAGCGGAGACGATAGATGTCAACTACTCTGATGTCATCCCAGGCCTGATCGGACTCATCCCCAGAATCAACATCAACAACGTCCAACTGGCCGACACCGTCATGTTCACTATCGGTAGGTACTGATACGCTCATACATGTTCACGATAGGTATTAATACAGTCATACCTGTGATTTTGTTGTGTTTTGTTCATACAGGGAAATAACAAGGGGAAATTTTTTAAACAAATTGGACAGGAAAACAGGAAAAGCATCAGTCTCCTTTGCTTCAGTCTCCTGTAGCATAAAGTGTTAAATATTTTCATCCACTGTATTCTTCTTCTCCTCCCTCCCTGTAGGAGCTCTAGCCGAGTGGTTGGCGGACCACCCGGTGATGTTGAGTAGTGTTCTACCTCTGGTACTCCAGGCCTTGGGGAACCCAGACCTCTCCATCTCCTCTGTCTCCACACTCAAGAAGATCTGCCGAGAGTGCAAATACGACCTGCCACCCTATGCCTCCAATATAGTGGCTGTATCACGTGTACGTACGCGTGTGTGTGTGTGTACCATATATCATGTTTTTACATTTAAGTCAATATAATATTATTCTACTTATGCTTCTGCTATCCTCTCTTCTTCACAGGAGGTGCTGATCAAGCAGATTCACAAGGTCAGTCCCCGTCCTGTCTGGAAATAATGCAAGCCATAACCCCAATGTCCCAACTCACTGGACCCACTCTACTGTATACAACATCCTGGATAATAATTTATAGTTTAAGTCAGGGACAGAGTCAAACTTTTAAAAACGTTATTGCCTGTGCATTTGGTACATGCAAACAATGAGCATATTCAATACAAGCACAGGGAGTACATCCGACCATAGAATCAGTCAGCCCATTCAGTCATGACAACAAGGTTAGAGCTGGTGACAAGACTGATTATTGGTAGCTAGCAAAGACCACTTACACAAGGAGTCAGTCTTTCAAAAGTCCTGGAAATGTGTAACAATGTTCTCTCCTCTTCCTCTCGCTTTTCTTCCTGCTCCCCTCCCTCTCGCTTTTCTTCCTGCTCCCCTCCCTCTCGCTTTTCTTCCTGCTCCCCTCCCTCTCGCTTTTCTTCCTGCTCCCCTCCCTCTCGCTTTTCTTCCTGCTCCCCTCCCTCTCTCTTCCTCCCTCCCTCTTCCCTTCCTCCCTCCCTCCCTCTTCCCTTCCTCTCCATCTCCAGACCAGTCAGTGTATGTGGCTGATGCAGGCCTTGGGCTTCCTGCTGTCTGCTCTGCCTGTGGAGGAGATACTGAGGAACCTGCACTCTCTCATCACTCCCTACATCCAACAACTTGAGAAACTAGCTGATGAGACGGTACACAGACACACATAGACACACACTATGGTAACAGTGTTATAGTGACATATTTTCCTCTCTCTGTTGGACTGCGGCCATATGAACAGACTGTGTGTCTGCATGGATGCACCACACACTAACACACACACTAGCGCGTACACACACACACACACTCTCTCTCTCTCTCTCTCTCTCGCTCGCTTTCTTTCTTCCCCCTCTCCCTGTTGGACTGTGTCCATATGAACAGGTGTTGTATCTGTGTGGCTCCACTGCAGTTGAACATTTCTCTGTGGGACCAGATTGGCTTCATTACTACACAATGGGATACTGAATCACAGGGCCATAACACACACACCAGATTCTTTCTTCATTAAATGTCAGGTCTAATGAATCCGGGCCTTATAGGAGCTAAAAATAGGGACGTGACATTATCAGTGTTGAATTAGTCTTTCTCCCCCGATCTACTGTTCTAGGGTCTGCAGAGACCTGAGTGTCTGGGTGAACAGAGATGGCAGTTCAAATGAAGAGTTTCATCTCTTTCTCTCTCTCACTCTCTCTACCTCTCGCTCGCTCTCTCTCTCTCTCTCTGTCTGTCTGACGTATAGCCATGACATCATACTATGGAATCAGGTTGTCTGTGCAGCCTAACAAACACTGGCACCCTAAGGCAAGAGGTGAAACTGCACCTCCACTATATAATTAGCTACAAGCGTTGTCTGTTTTTATGCATTTAGGGTGGTATTCTGACTTAAATACTGTGCGCTCTGAATGATTAAGGCATATATCCAAGTTGAACATACCTATCTCAAATTTGTTTGTGTGTTCAGTAGCGGCGTCACAGTTTGCTCGTTAAGAGAAGGGTAGTCAGCCCAGCCACATGACTCCTCCCCTGTACTCCACAGCTCAGTTGTCATGGATACCGAGCAGTGATTAAATGGTTGCTAACGAAGCTTTAATTAGTGTTGTCACCCTGGAGAGAGCCTGTGTGTGTGTGTGAGTGAGTGAAATCTGCAGATAAATGAAGCCATCAACTGACTGACGCACCCAAACTTCTGTCTTTCACTGATCTGTCTTTCACTTCTTCATCCCTCTCTTTCACTGGCTTTCTTTTTGCTTCACTCGTTAACTCATTCACAAAAAACAAACAGATAGAAAATTAGTGATGGCAAATCTTGTTTCAGTCTGGCTTCCTAAAGCTATTGACTTACTCTCGCTCCCTCTTTCCCTCCCTCCATCCCTCTCTCCAGCCCAACCCGTCCAATAAACTAGCGATAATCCACATCCTAGGTCTGTTGTCCAATCTCTTCACTACGCTGGACATTAGCAAACAGGAGGACGAATCAGGAGAGAGCACTGCTCCCCCTGTCAAACCTGCCCCGCCCCCACCAGGGCCTAACCCGGTGAGATGCACCTTCATCTTCGTCATCATCATTATTATCATCAGCAGCACTCAGCCAGCCACACACAAGCTCTTTTAAAGGGAAAGTTCATCCAGTTTTCCTCATTTGTTACTCATTTAGCTAGTGCTGTCAAACTAACCTGTGTGTGTTCTAGGTGGTGGTGGTCCTACAGCAGGTCTTTGCTCTCATTCAGACGGTCCTCAGCAAGTGGCTCAATGACTCTCAGGTGGTGGAGGTGAGACACAAACACACACAAAAAAAAGTGACGCGTTGACTCAACAGTTTTAATAAATGATCTGCACATTCATGAAGCATTAAAAAATCCAACCTGAACCAGCTGAAAATAAACACTCATTTCACTATCCCCCCCCCCCCCCCCTTCTCCCTGCCCTCCCCTCTCTCTCCCGCCTTCCTCCCAGGCGGTGTGTGCTATCTTTGAGAAGTCGGTGAAGACTCTGCTCCATGACTTTGCCCCCATGGTGTCTCAGCTCAGTGAGATGCTAGGACAGATGTACAGTACCATACCACAGGCCTCAGCACTGGACCTCACACGACAGGTACACACACACACGCTTGAGCACACTCGCATACACAATACACACTCACATGCATACGTTCAGAGGCACACACACACTCTTTCACACCAACACCTTGACCGGTGTGAAACAGTCTGTGGTTTTGTTTGACAGATGGTCCATATATTTGCCAGTGAGACGGACCACTTCCCACCCATCAAGGCTCTATTTGAGCTGGTTACCTCAGTAACACTCTCCATCTTCCAGCAAGGTAGGGGGTCCTGCAGGGGAGAGGGAGGGGGGTGATCTGTCTGTTCTTGTTTTGGGTGATTTTGATTGACAGGCAAACTTACACACACTCCTGCTTTCACCTGAGAACAGGAGAACAAGGAACGTGGAGAATGAACATGGCTTCCATAGCACAAGGGGAAACTATAATGGCTGCATCTCAATAGTCTAAAGTCCTCGTCTCCTCTCCTTGGAGCTGGACAGTTGAAAGCACCTATTGCACCATATTGCTTTCACCTGCCCTGTGTTTTTAGATGAGTGCAGATGAAGGGGAGGAGATAAGGAGAGGAAGCCACTTTAGACTGTTGAGATGCATCCTCTGTCCTCCTGTGCTGCTATGGAGAATTACACAAGAAAAAGCATTAGAAGGAAGTTTTGTTTTTCAAGCTGATAATATCTAGTGGGTCTTACCTGAATAGTGTCTGCCTCTCTCTTTTCCCCTTTCCCCCTTCTTCTGCTTTGACTGGGTTTGATTGATATTGGCTGCCTCTCCTCTGCTCTCTTTAAAAAAAAAACTATTTCTTTCTGAGCAGGTGTTCTTCAATGTTGCTCTGTGGCCAGTACCTTATACATTATGGTGCAACGTTACAAAACATTACAGAATGTTGTTGCAGAACAACGTTCATATAGAAATGTATTGTGTAGAACAGACATCCTCTTTTACAGAACAGGGGATTGTGTGGGCTCTATTCATTGCATTTCTATCTGGGTTGCGTCCCACTGAATAAGTTTGTTAGGTGGGGAGTTGGGGGATGGGGTCTTGTTTGGAGTCTAGAAACAGCGAAGGGAAGGGTGGCCTCCTAAGTGTTCACATTTTTGGTGGGCGGGTAAGGGTCAGGGGTGCTATTGACCCAAATCAACCCCTACCCACTACGCACATGGATGGTGTAAGCCACACAATGTTTTATTCTTGCATATCGTATTACACGGTGGAGCTATTAGCAAGCCCCTAGGGTGTAGGGTCTAGGGGAGATGGCTGGGGCTAGGGGTTGATTTGGGTCAATAGCACCCCTGACCCTTACTCGCCCTGCAAAAAGGTGAACACGTAGGAGGCCACCCTTCCCTTCGCTGTTCCTAGACTCCAAACTAGACCCCATCTCCCAACTCCCCATACACGCCTAGAGGGGAGGGGCGAGGGGTTGATTTGGGACTTGACGCCCCCCTTCTCTGAAGCGTGACAGTAACAGAGGCCTCCTGGGTTTCCTACTCCAAAACCACTTTTGTTATTTTTAGGTATTTTATTTTTCTCTCGTTACTACTACTTTCTTTTTATCTCCAAATGGAACCCATGTCTTCTCTTTCTCTGCCTGTTTTCTGTTTGTTCAAACGCTCACTGTTTTTCCAAGACTCTTCCAAAGCTTCACACGCCCCTCCTCCCTCTCTCTTCCCCTTTGTTCGTTCTTTACTCACGTGTGACAATTATTTCAATGAGATCTTTTCTGTTCTCTTTTCTTTCCACATGACTGTTGAATCGGTTGAGTTGCTGTTTGTATATTATTATTCTTCTCTTTATTCTTTATGATTTGTTAAGTTTCATCTTTATTATATTTTAGGACCCAGGGATCATCCTGATATTGTTGATTCATTTATGCAACTCCAAGCTCAGGTGTGTTTTTGGTTTCTTATTTCATTCACTTTGGGTTTCTCTCTCGTTCTCTCTCTCTCTCTTTCTTTCTCTCTCACACACTCTCTCTAGTTCTCTCTTTCCCTTTCTCTTTCTGTTCTTTGTTTAAGGGTCAGAGGGCGACCCATCATAATGGCATGGCAGAGAATAGACAGTAGGTGGTGCTATTGAAGGACGGAGTCTGTCTCCTTCAATACTCAGGGCTCTAACCAGTAGCTACACCTTTGTCTGATGAGGGAGTAAGGGTCAGAGTTCATCAAGGTCTTGTCCAGTAGGCATAAAACAGGACAGAATGTTTTGAAACAAGGAGGGACTACCTGAACGTGTCCCATAAGAAACATGTTCATGTTCGGTTGTCTTCTTAACATGACCCTGGGATGTAGTTCCCTGTGACCTCACTGGTTAGAATCCCCTAGCCACACCCCTTTTCTGATGTCATTCCAGCCCAGAGCCAATCAAAGCCCAAATGAATTAATATTCCATTAATTAATTAATTCAGTCGAATTGGCTGCCCTCTGTTTTTTTTTGTTTTTGTCTTCTACATTCTTCTTCCTTTAATTTCTCTCTTTGGATAGAGCTGATCTCCATCTCTCCTCTCCACTTCCCTTGTTCCCTCTCTCTTCCTCCATCCTGAATGAGTTCATTACAGTATCAGTTGTATTTATCCGTACATGTACCTTACTTACTTATGTTGCATATTCAATCCAACCTAGCCAAAAAAAGGGAGAAAAAAATAGTGTATCGGAATGAAATTAATACAGACAAAAGCTGCAGAACCATCATTGCCTTTAGTTTGACCTAAGTTTTAAATACTTTGTTTGATTTTCTCCAGTTTGCTTGCTGAGTTTGCATTGGAGCAGAGTTGTGTACTGTATAAGTGGTAGTTTGTCATAGAGAGAGGGAGAGTGGATTAGTCTAGCCTGGTAGCCTCCACTGTTGATCTGCTGGAGATGACTGCTTTAGCCCAATTCTCATTCACTCCCCCTCAAGGATTTAAAAGCATTGGGATTGGTGTAAGAAACACTTTGTCTATACCAATCCAATGCTGTTAAATCCCAAAGGGGGAGTGAACGAGATCACACCTCAGGGAGAAGGGGGACAATCAGAATTTGGCTTTGTTGTCATATCTAAGGCCAGAAGTTTTTCCTGACCTTGTGGGCAAACAGTTGGACATGACAATGACAAAGGAGTTGTCTAATGCAGACACAGTTCTGTCTATGAGGCTAGGAGAGTGGGGTGTTCAGTATTTTCCGGGGTGGGAGGTAGGGGTTGGGCTGTACCCCTGGAGTAGGGGAATAGACTCCTGCCCTGTGTCATGTCTCTGTCTGCCTCCTACTGTAGGCCCTCAAACGGAAGCCAGATCTCTTCTTGTCTGAGAGTCTTGACGTGAAAGCTGTGTTCCATTGTGGTAAGTGTGTGTTGCTTTGCTCCTGCACACACACACACTGTTCATTGTACAGTGGGGGAAAAAAGTATTTAGTCAGCCACCAATTGTGCAAGTTCTCCCACTTAAAAAGATGAGAGAGGCCTGTAATTTTCATCATAGGTACACGTCAACTATGACAGACAAAATGAGCGAAGAAATCCCAGAAAATCACATTGTAGGATTTTTAATGAATTTATTTGCAAATTATGGTGGAAAATAAGTATTTGGTCAATAACAAAAGTTTCTCAATACTTTGTTATATACCCTTTGTTGGCAATGACACAGGTCAAACGTTTTCTGTATGTCTTCACAAGGTTTTCACACACTGTTGCTGGTATTTTGGCCCATTCCTCCATGCAGATCTCCTCTAGAGCAGTGATGTTTTGGGGCTGTCGCTGGGCAACACAGGCTTTCAACTCCCTCCAAAGATTTTCTATGGGGTTGAGATCTGGAGACTGGCTAGGCCACTCCAGGACCTTGAAATGCTTCTTACGAAGCCACTCCTTCGTTGCCCGGGCGGTGTGTTTGGGATCATTGTCATGCTGAAAGACCCAGCCACGTTTCATCTTCAATGCCCTTGCTGATGGAAGGAGGTTTTCACTCAAAATCTCACGATACATGGCCCCATTCATTCTTTCCTTTACACGGATCAGTCGTCCTGGTCCCTTTGCAGAAAAACAGCCCCAAAGCATGATGTTTCCACCCCCATGCTTCACAGTAGGTATGGTGTTCTTTGGATGCAACTCAGCATTCTTTGTCCTCCAAACACAACAAGTTGAGTTTTTACCAAAAAGTTATATTTTGGTTTCGTCTGACCATATGAAATTCTCCCAATCCTCTTCTGGATCATCCAAATGCACTCTAGCAAACTTCAGACGGGCCTGGACATGTACTGGCTTAAGCAGGGGGACACGTCTTGCACTGCAGGATTTGAGTCCCTGGCGGCGTAGTGTGTTACTGATGGTAGGCTTTGTTACTTTGGTCCCAGCTCTCTGCAGGTCATTCACTAGGTCCCCCCTGTGTGGTTCTGGGATTTTTGCTCACCGTTCATATGATCATTTTGACCCCACGGGGTGAGATCTTGCGTGAAGCCCCAGATCGAGGGAGATTATCAGTGGTCTTGTATGTCTTCCATTTCCTAATAATTGCTCCCACAGTTGATTTCTTCAAACCAAGCTGCTTACCTATTGCAGATTCAGTCTTCCCAGCCTGGTGCAGGTCTACAATTTTGTTTCTGGTGTCCTTTGACAGCTCTTTGGTCTTGGCCATAGTGGAGTTTGGAGTGTGACTGTTTGAGGTTGTGGACAGGTGTCTTTTATACTGATAACAAGTTCAAACAGGTGCCATTAATACAGGTAACGAGTGGAGGACAGAGGAGCCTCTTGAAGAAGTTACAGGTCTGTGAGAGCCAGAAATCTTGCTTGTTTGTAGGTGACCAAATACTTATTTTCCACCATAATTTGCAAATAAATTCATTAAAAATCCTACAATGTGATTTTCTGGAAAAAAATTCTCAATTTGTCTGTCATAGTTGACGTGTTCCTATAATGAAAATTACAGGCCTCTCTGATCTTTTTAAGTGGGAGAACTTGCACAATTGGTGGCTGACTAAATACTTTTTTCCCCCACTGTATGTGTTGCTGCATTTCTCTTAACACACACACACACTTTGTCAATCGTCGTGCCTCAGAGATCCACAGAGATTGTGCTGGAAACATCTGAAGAGCAAAACTGTTAGTGTTTAAATAGAATTTAGTATTTGGATGTTTCTAATACCCTCCCCTCCTCTCCCTCTCCTCTGTAGGAGTAATGTCACTGAAATTCCCTGAGGCTCCAACAGTCAAGTCTACCTGCTTGTTCTTTGTGAGTGTACACACTAGGGATGTGAAAAATGTAAAAAAATGTCTTAACGTTTAAACTGCCATTTTCATATAGCGTTTAAATTTTGGCAATTTTTTTCATAAAATGACCTGAAATTACAATCCAGATATGGTTCTGCGTATGACCACTAGGGAGCAATGCAGTTCAGTCTACCACAGTCCTGGCTACCTACCTACCGGTCGTCACTAGTTACCACAGTCCTGGCTACCTACCTACCGGTCGTCACTAGTTACCACAGTCCTGGCTACCTACCTACCGGTCGTCACTAGTTACCACAGCCACAAAGTCCTAAAGTCTGCCTATTTCTACAATGTATCTTCTTAAAATGTCATTTTTAAACCTAACCTAAACCCTAACCACACTGCTAACCTTAAATTAAGACCAAAAATATCATTTTTGTTTTCATACATTTTTACGATATAGCCAATTTTGACTTTGTGGCTGTGGTAACTAGTGGAAACCCTACCAGACTGCGCTCACCTTACTGCTGTCCCCCATAGTGGAAACCCTACCAGACTGCGCTCACCTTACTGCTGTCCCCCACCCACTCAGCAACGACGGTATTAATGCCGTTTTAGGTTCTCTGTGTGCCTCTCCTCCATGTCCTCAGTTGTCAGTACATGGGACTTCATGTCCCACTTTTCATTCATGTGATGGCTCGTTGCAGTGATTTATGACGGCGGATTCATAGACGTCCATCAGGTCCGTCACAGTTTATCGACATGGCATCTTGTAGTCTGGTTCTAGATATGCCGTTAGGGTATTAAAGACGACATCCTCTACCATTGACAATGGCTGCATATCAACTGCAATCATTTCTATAATCAGCTCTGTGATTTTCTCACTCAGTCCCTTATCGCACTGCTGCCCAGCAATGGGTTGGGTCTCACGGTGCCTCCTTTCAGCATTGTAATGCCACTGTAGCTCAATTCCACCTCGCAAAGTTTGTATTTCATTAGCTTCTCATTTAACTTGTCAAAGTATTGCCATACAGGACTTCGCTGCTATCGCTTCCCTGTCTCACTTTGCAATTTTTCCAACGATGACGTGTGACGCGCTTTATATCCGTGGCAAATATACAGAACAAAAATATAAACGTAACATGCAACAATTTCAACGATTTTACTGAGTTACAGTTCATATAAGGAAATCAGTCAATTGAAATTGATCAATTGAAGATGATCCTGCAAGTGAAGAAGCCAGATGTGGAGATCCTGAGTTGGCGTGGTTACACGTGGTCTGCGGTTGTGAGGCCGATTGGATGTACTTCCAAATTCTCTAAAACGACGTTGGAGGCGGCTTATGGTAGAGAAATTAACATTCAATTATCTGGCAACAGCTCTGGTGGACATTCCTGCAGTCAGCGTATCAATTGCACGCTCCCTCAAAACTTGAGACATCTGTGGCATGGTGTTGTGACAAAACTGCACATTTTAAAGTGGCCTTTTATTGTCCCCAGCACAAGGTGCACCTGTGTAATGATAATGCTGTTTAATCAGTTTATTGATATGCCACACCTGTCAGGTGGATGGATTATCTTGGCAAAGGAGAAATGCTCACTTACGGTGATGTAAACAAATTTGTGCACAAAATTGGAGAGAAATAAGCTTTTTGTGCATATGGAAAGCTCATGAAGCATGGGACCAACACTTTACATGTTGCGTTTATTTTTGTCCAGTATAATTTAAAAGATGCATATTTCCTCCTACTTACAGCATTATTGCGTTAGGTATTTGTTACATTTTAATTTTTGCCTTTATGATGATGATCGGACCTGTTAATGGTAGTTTTGTGATAACTGCACTGTGATTTTAATTTTTTCAAAAATAAAAAACAATTGGTTATGGACTTTTTGTAAATGTTAACGATCCCAAATTCGTTTAAACGTCACATCCCTAGTACACACACACCCATTGTTGGTTAACAGATGTGAATCTTGTTGTTGAGATGTGATATTAGTGTTTGTTCTGATTGTCCCTGTGTGTGTGCGCCGTAGACTGAGTTGTTGCCCCGCTGCTCAGATGTGCCCCCAGTGGCCAGAGTGGTGCAGGAGAACGGAAAACTACTGCTGCAGGCCGTACTAGAGGTAAACCTACATACTCACATCCTCGCTAATGTCTCTTACCTGTCCTACTGTAAACTGAAACATATCACCTTACTGACTGGTCTTTGCCCCCCCTTTCCTTTCTTTCTCTATCTCTCCAGGCAATCGGTGGAGGTTCATCTCGTAGTCTGATGGAACAGTTTGCTGAGGTGCTGTTCAGTCTCAATAAGCACTGTTTCCCTTTGCTCACCATGTGGCTGAAAGAGGCGCTGCAGGCACAAGGCTTCCCTTCTACTAGGGTCACCACAGAACAGAAAGACACCTTCACCCAACAGATACTCAGGTACTACACGCACACACACACACGTACAGACAGACAGACATACACATACACATCTGCACACACACACACACATGCTTTTGTTCGCTTTTCTGACCCTCTCTCTTTCTCTCTCTCTCCTCTCCTCCCTTTCTCCATACTCTAGAGAGCGAGTGAATAAGCGGAGGGTGAAGGACATAGTGAAGGAGTTTACACTAGTCTGCAGAGGTCTTAACGGGACAGAGTATGCTGCTGAATACTGACTCTGACCCCTGACCTTGCCACGACCCCCAGGCCGGACGCCACAGTACTACAGTACCCACAAACCCCTCAACACTGGAGTTTCCATTGGACGATTGAAACAAGACCCTCCCCCTAGAACAGAAAACAGCTCCCCATACAGGCCTGCCATTGACAGCGCTCTGTCACACCCCACAGCGGTCTGAGGAAGGCTGCTCCCCCTGCCCCCCTCTCACCTTCCTTTCTGTGACTTCAACTCCCAGCATGCCCTCTGTTTGTCTTGCTCTGACTTTCGGTTACGATCTTCCATGGCTCCAAGGCCGTTTCCCTGCTGTTTCCTGGTTGTTTAGCATCTGAGACGATAGTGGTACTGTACCTACCGTACGTAGCTAGCTAGTTTACCTTTGGAAAGAAAACCAAAAGAAATATATATATATATACACACACACATCTATGTAACGAAACACGGGGTGCCAGTCCTGCTGCTGCTAGACAGGAAGAGAGAAGGACCAAGGACGGTATAGGATTCAGTGGCTAGAGACACATATTTACAGCATAATGTATATCGTACAACACTGACTTGCTCTTACGTTTGCCAAAATATTTTGTGGAACGTCATGTGAACTAGTCTTTCATTTTAATTTTGTATATGTGATATTTGCCTTTATGGGGAAATTATGAGGTGATTGATCGAAGATTGAACCACTGACTGAGACTAAAGCAGAAGATTATACAGTCTGCTCTCCTGCCCATGCCCTACACACACAAACATACAATCACACATACACGGTCACAAAACTGTAGTTTCCTCATGAATCTAGAATGTATTTTGTTGAGGAGAGAGTGATACAGAGGTAGGAGAGATTATGAATGTTTGGAGGGGATAGATGGGGGTCCTAGCTGTGGACTCTACAGTCACTGTAATCGTGCAAATCTATTAATCATGTTGTGCGTATTAACAGTCACATTACTGAACATTTCCGTGTGTGTGTGTGTGTGTATGGGCGCATGTTTGCGTGAGTGTGCAAATAAATGTCTGCCTCCCCACTTATTGAGTGCACTTATATCGGACCTACATCACTTTCTCCTACCAAACACACAGACCCCCTCCAACCCCCGTGGCCCCACCCCCTTTAAAAACTGACCCCGTCCTCCCATTTGCCACTCTTAGTCCTCCCATACATACAGCACATATCCTGAGTACTCCACTTCAATGTTCTCCGCTCGCCACACAGAACAAAACAATAAAACAGTCCACTAACCTCCACATCGCCTGGATTGACTGACCAGTCCTAACCAACGACTAGATGAACTCATCCATATGATCTATAGACCAATAGAACAAACTGAACACCATACTGCTCTTAACCGGTGCCTGTCAACAAGCAACCGGTGTCTTATCAACCAACCGGTTGCCTGTCTAGAACGAAACCGGGGTGGGGGGGGGGCGCCAGATGAAATGGAACTCCTCTCAGTGAATGGAACTGAGACTGTGTCTGAAATGAAACCAACGTGCACTACTTTATGAGAATAGATGGAGATCAGAGAATCGGGTACCATTTAGGACAGATGAAAAGATTGGTGCAGCCGGCTCCCATGTGTACTTCCTGGTTCCTTATTACATCAACTCGGTCCATTCCCTCTTTCTGTCACTAGGTGCCTGCAGACATGTAGCATGTGTGTGTTTTGGGGTACGGGGGGGTGGGAGATTATGAAATACTGTGAGTGTGACACTGTGAGAAAATGCTCTGGGTAGAAGTTGGCCTTAGACACAGATCTAGGATAAGCTTAACCTCTGGATCGTCTTAACCATTACGGGCTGAAGATGCAAGACTGACTTTAGATCAGTGTCCAGGGTTGACTTCTTCCTGCGCCCAAGGGTACAGTCTGAGAATATGTTTGTCACTGAGAGAGGAGGGGAAGGAGATGAGGAGTGGGTGGGGGGGGGGGTGAAATGTACATTGTTTCTTTTTTGTACCTTGTTTTAATTTATTAAATATATCTTAAGACGACACGTCTGGTGATGTTGACTGTGTGCAAATGTGTCCATTTCACACGTTCAGGCACTTCCTACTGGCCACTATGTTAGGTCTGTGTTTAATATAATGAAAATTAAAAAGGCTGAGAGAGCACTGCAGCATGCTTAGTCCACTATTGGCTGAGTCACGTGAGTGAGAGGAGACCAAGCAGCACACACGCACTTGTGTAGCCCACCTGAAGCTGGAGAACGAATGTAATAAATAGCATAACTTCAGTATATTTATTGTTGTGTTTTTATGCAATTATTAATAGCCATGTTTAGTTAATTAAATAGGAAGTTATCAAAGCTCTATCGCAATTGACGATCAGTTATTAGAACGCATTAGATTAGGCTACAGGTAAAAAAAAATATAACACTGGCTGTTGACAATCATTCAGTTCATATACATATTATTCATATTTAATTGAGTGATTGAAATTACAACCACATCCTCAGTAGCCTATTCCAGCAGGCTATTGGGAAACACAAGCACTTCTTACCTCGAAATCGCCAAGCTATTCATGTTGAATAAATTGATCTGTTAATTTGAACTAAACAAACTATCGTTTTGGCAAGTCGGTTAGGACATCTACTTTGTGCATGACACAAGTACTTTTTCCAACAATTGTTTACAGACAGATTATTTCACTTATAATTCACTGTATCACAATTCCAGTGGGCCAGAAGTTTACATACACTAAATTGACTGTGCCTTTAAACAGCTTGGAAAATTCCAGAAAATGATGTCATGGCTTTTGATGCGTCTGATGGGCTAATTGACATAATTTGAGTCAATTGGAGGTTTACCTGTGGATGTATTTCAAGGCCTACCTTCAAACTTGCTTGACATCATGAGAAAATCAAAAGAAATCAGCCAAGACCTCAGAAAAAAAATTGTAGACCTCCACAAGTCTGGTTCATCCTTGGGATCAATTTCCAAACGCCTGAAGGTACCACGTTCATCTGTTCAAACAATAGTAGGCAAGTATAAACACCATGGGACCACGCAGCTGTCATACCGCTCAGGAAGGAGACACGTTCTGTCTCCTAGAGATGAATGTACTTTGGTACGAAAAGTGCAAATCAATACCAGAAGAACAGCAAAGGACCTTGTGAAGATGCTGGAGGAAACAGGTACAAAAGTATCTATATCCACAGTAAAACAAGTCCTATATCGACATAACCTGAAAGGCCGCTCAGCAAGGAAGAAGCCACTGCTCCAAAACCGCCATAAAAAAGCCAGATTATGGTTTGCAACTGCACATGGGGACAAAGATCGTACTTTTTGGAGAAATGTCCTCTGGTCTGATTAAACAAAAATAGAACTGTTTGGCCATAATGACCATCGTTATGTTTGGAGGAAAAAGGGGTAGGCTTGCAAGCCAAAGAACACCATCCCAACCGTGAAGCGTGGGTGTGCTTTGCTGCAGGATGGACTGGTGCACTTCACAAAATAGATGGCATCATGAGGAAGGAAAATTACATTTACATTTACATTTTAGTCATTTAGCAGACGCTCTTAACCAGAGCGACTTACAGGAGCAATTAGGGTTAAGTGCCTTGCTCAAGGGCACATTAACGTCATTTAGCAGACGCTCTTAGCCAGAGCGACTCACAAATTGGTGCGTTCACCCTATAGCCAGTGGGATAACCACTTTACAATTTGGGGGGGGTTAGAAGGAATACTTTATCCTATCCCAGGTATTCCTTAAAGAGGTGGGGTTTCAAATGTCTCCGGAAGGTGGTGAGTGACTCCGCTGTCCTGGCGTCGTGAGGGAGCTTGTTCCACCATTGGGGTGCCAGAGCAGCGAACAGTTTTGACTGGGCTGAGCGGGAGCTATGCTTCCGCAGAGGAAGGGGAGCCAGCAGGCCAGAGGTGGATGAACGCAATGTCCTCCTTTGGGTGTAGGGACTGATCAGAGCCTGAAGGTACAGAGGTGCCGTTCCCCTCACTGCTCCATAGGCAAGCACCATGGTCTTGTAGCGGATGCGAGCTTCAACTGGAAGCCAGTGGAGTGTGCGGAGGAGGGGGGGTGACGTGAGAGAACTTGGGAAGGTTGAACACCAGACGGGCTGCGGCATTCTGGATGAGTTGTAGGGGTTTAATGGCACAGGCAGGGAGCCCAGCCAACAGCGAGTTGCAGTAGTCCAGACGGGAGATGACAAGTGCCTGGACCAGGACCTGCGCCGCTTCCTGTGTAAGGCAGGGTCGCACTCTCCGAATGTTGTAGAGCATGAACCTGCAGGAGCGGGTCACCGCCTTGATGTTGGCGGAGAACGACAGGGTGTTGTCCAGGGTCACGCCTAGGCTCTTCGCACTCTGGGAGGAGGACACAGCGGAGTTGTCAACCGTGATGGCGAGATCATGGAACGGGCAGTCCTTCCCCGGGAGGAAGAGCAGCTCCGTCTTGCCAGGGTTCAGCTTGAGGTGGTGATCCGTCATCCATACTGATATGTCTGCCAGACATGCAGAGATGCGATTCGCCACCTGGTTATCAGAAGGGGGAAAGGAGAAGATTAGTTGTGTATCGTCAGCGTAGCAATGATAGGAAAGGCCATGTGAGGATATGACAGAGCCAAGTGACTTGGTGTATAGGGAGAAAAGGAGAGGGCCCAGAACCGATCCCTGGGGGACACCAGTGGTGAGAGCA